CCCCGGCTCTGCTCACCCCGGCTCTGCTCACCCCGGCCGTGAGACACCCAAAGCGCCCCGCCCCCCCTGCTTTTGGGTGCAACACCGTCTTTTTTCTGAAGTTCTTTTCGTTTTCTTCTCTATGCCTGTCTCCTGAAGTTTGTCTGAGTCACTTTTTTCTTTTTGGTTTTCTTTCTGTCTTCAGAATTAATTTTGCATTATAGAAGACTGAAAACAGATATAAAGAAAATTCTTTACTTACTCTCGCATATTCTGTGGCAAATGATACGTTTATAGGTAACAGGATTATCTTTGAAAGCAATGAGATGAGACCGAATTTTTAAATACCTTGATGTGTCATGGTGCTTTGTGAAGATCTTAAATTGAGCTGGTTTTTGTGGTGCATGATCATTTCTCTTCCTGGGCAAGGAGGTTCTCCTGGTTGTACTAAATGCCCCATTTTGCAGTATACTGCCTTACTGCTTCTGCATGCTCTTATTTTCTCCTAAGAATTCCTGTAGCTTTAAAGTTCTAATGTGCTGCTGTCCTGTGATCCGGAGCTTCACAACTGTTAACTGCTAGACGTAGCGCATCGTAGTATGAAGAGACCTAATGACATACTATTCACAGCAGTATAGGTTTTCAATCAAGACTGATCTTTTCAGGCCACTTGGATGGGAATTAAACTAAGAAACAGGTACATCAAAGCCCCAAATTAGCAAAGGAATAAAAGTGCTGGGCACCTGCTATCAGCCCTTCTGACTTCACTGGAGTTCGTACAGCTGCACAGTTCAACGTGCAGGGACTGTCATGTAGGATAGCTGGAGAAGGTTAAGGAGCACTAAGCTAAATTCTTTTTGACTTTTACTATAACAAGGAACAGGTTTGTACCATTTTTCCAGGAGAGAATATATTATGCAGTAGCACATTACTAGAAAATCCTCTTTCTCATAAACCTGCACTTATGCATGGATCAGTATTGATGCTTACACAAAATCGCTGACTTGTTTTGCTACCAACCAGTGCTTTCCTGGAATCTAATCACTCAGATTACTCAGGTCCTTGGAATATTTTAAGAATAAAGACTGCTGTATCAAATCACTTTATTAAATTGATATGACTGGCCAAATTACTACCTGATTTTTAAAAGATTTTTACATATTTGCAAAGTTATGACGGTGGAACATTTTTTATGGCTTAAAATTTAGTAGATTTTTTTCCATAATAATGTTTCATCTGTCACATTTGAGGAAATTGCACATATGAATTTTTAGTATCTTTGTTCAGTCTTCCTTTTTATCCCCTTTGTCTTTTGACATATTTTTTTTCTTTCCTTACAATTCTGTGGTTTCCCCTATGGTGTTTAAAGTCAGATGTTTGGAATATTATGCTGTCTAGTTATTGTATTGAAAATATGAAACGTCTCATTGAAAACGCCTGGTCTGTCAGCAGTAGCAACATGTCAATATTGCATGTCGCAAATTGAAAGCCAGTTACTCTGCAAGTGCTGTCTTGTAGACGCTGTATCAGTTTCTTCCTGACGGTGGCACCAGTTGTACAAGTCGAAGCCTCCCTCAGCGGCCCTCGCACAGCCCCACTCACATTGGGGCTGCGGGCTCGCCTAGCCGAGCAAGGCCTCAACATATCGCCTCACGTCACTCTCGACCAAAATCAGTGTCCAGCCTCCAAACTGAAAACGTCCAGCCCCTGCTCCCAGGCGCAAGGTGCAAGCCCCAAAACAGGTTTCTGGCCTGAAACCTCCCTCAGCGGCCCTTTCACGTGACCATTTCATGATCACTGTGCCCAAGATGGCCTCCAACCATCACATTACCAAGTCCCTTCTCTGTTTGCAAACAACAGGTCCAGTGGGACACCTTCCCTAGTTGGCTCACTCACCAGCTGTGTCAGGAAGTTCTCTTCCACACACTCCAGGAACCTCCTAGACTCTTTCCTCTCTGTTGTATTGTATTTCCAGCAGACAACTGGTAATTGAAGTTCCCCACAAGAACAAGGGCTAGGGATTATGAGACTTCTCCCAGATGCTTATAGAATATTTTGTCTGCCTCTTCATCCTGGTTGGGTGGACTATAACAGACTCGCACCATGACATCTGCCTTGTTGGCCTCCCCTGTTTCTTACTCATGAACACACAACCCTATCGTGACTATCATTAAGCGCTAGACAATCAAAACATTCCCTAACATACAGGGCTACCCCACCACCTCTCCTTCCTTGCCTATCTCTTCTGAAGAGTTTGTAGCCATCCATTGCAGCATTTCAGTTGTGCGAATCATCCCACCATATTCTGTGATGGCAACTATATCATAGTTTTCCTGCTGCACAGTTCCTCCTGTTTGTTGCCCATGCTGCGTACATTGGTGTAGATGCACTTAAGTTGGATTATTGATTCTGCTACCTTTTTGGGGGGAGAAGCCCTAATTCCTATGTGACCTTTCTCAGTCACTTCTGTGGTTTCTAACACAATAACTCTTGTATCTTTGCTGCCGCATGGCTCTCCATCCCATACCTCCAATGAGATGGCAGACCAAAGGACCTTATTAGCACAGTGCCCCTCAAACATTGGCGTGCTGCCCCCAGGGTTATCTCTAGCAAGCCTGGTTTTATTCCTTTCCCAGTTCAAATCTAGTTTATCTGCTCACTTATGAGATACAAAGGCACAAGTGCCCTTCCCTGCCCTTCCCTTCCCTTCCCTGCCCTTCCCTTCCCTTCCCTGCCCTTCCCTTCCCTTCCCTGCCCTTCCCTTCCCTTCCCTGCCCTTCCCTTCCCTTCCCTGCCCTTCCCTTCCCTTCCCTGCCCTTCCCTTCCCTTCCCATGGTATGGGTCTGGCTGGACACTCGCACCTTGGGCTCTTGGATATTCCCGGTATAGGAGATGCTCAGTGCTCCTGGTCCACACAAGGAGGGGTTCAAGGGGTGAAAAAACCAGAACCAGCCCTGTACTGTGAGGGCCCACCACCGCAGTGATGTGACACCTGCAGCAAGGAGGGGGGGTGGGGTGTCTGTGATGAGCCAATGCCTTTGTGTTTCAAAGACCAGTACAGGTAGGAACATGTGAGGCTGAGAGCAAGGTGGGGATAGTGTGTCTACAGCCTGCAGAGAAACAGGCACAGGCGTGGGAGCGTGTGGGACATCCTGTGGTGGAGATGGCTGACAGTGGTATCTGTACAAGAAATGTTTTGGACAGAGAGACAGGAAGGGAGATATAAACACGATTAAGGAGCTGATCAAGGAGTTAATCTGACTTCTGAAAGATGGGGCAAGTTTCTAACTCCCTGAAACTCAAAGCAGCAACCAGCTAATTGGGATGATCTCAATGAACAAGAAGCAAGGAGAGGGGGAAATCTGGAAATAAGTGTCTCTGTAATTTCTTCCCATCATAAGCACAGAGTTGCTTCTTTGCTCTCTCTCTCCACAGAGAGCCTTTCTCCAGGGCAGTGTGTTCATGCTGGCCTAACCAGCTGTTACTTCTCCTTCTTCTGCTCCCTGCAGGGCCTTGAGCTGTCTGTGCTGCTCTGCAGGGCAAGGGGGTGGCCATGCCTGAAACCCATGAGGAGACAATCCCAAGCAGATCCCTGCTGGACATTCAGCACCTCCTGGGGCACTGGGCACATGTGAAGGTTGAGCCCAGGCCCATTCCCCAACACATGGCTCCATAGCCTCCTCCCCTCAGCCCATGGAGAACTTGAGTGCAGCAGTACAGCTTTGTAAGTGGAAGTTTCTTCAGCCTGTCCTTCATTTCAGCTTTGGAACAAGAGCCCAACCTCTGGACACCAGCACTGAGGAAATACCCTTTTATTATAGACATGTGACACAGGAGGCCAGCTGTACCATAGTGCCAGACACATGTACAAAGGCCTCTGGGTCAGACAGGCTATGTTCATGCCCCTGGAGAAGTTGTGTGGATGCTGACACTCCTGGATAAACTTGGTTATCACAGATAAAATGACCAAAGCACAGAAGGTTCCTGAGGTACGTTGGAAATCACTCGTGAAGAGACATGCAGTTTATTGCTGCTGACAGAAAAATAATTGAATCAGCTTCTTCAGTGCATCTTTGAGTTCCTTGTTCCTCGTGCTGTAGATCAGGGCATTCACTGCTGGAGGTACCACTGAGTACAGCACTGCCACCACCAGGTCCAGAGCTGATGAAAACATGGAGAGGGGCTTCAGGTAGGCAAACATTGCAGTGATCAAAAACAGGGAGACCACATCCATGTGAGGAAGGCACATGGAAAACGCTTTGTGCCATCTGTGCTTAGACGGGATCCTCAGCACAGCCCTGAAGATCTGCACATAGGACAGCACAATGAAAACAAAACACCCTGAAGATAAAGAAAAAACAAACAGAAGAAGCCCAGCTTTTCTGAGATAGGAGTGTAAACAGGACAGCTTGAGGATCTGGGGGGTTTCACAGAAGAACTGGTCCACAGCATTGCTGTGGCAGAGTGGTAGTGAAAATGTATTGGCAGGGTGCAGCACAGCATGGAGAAATGCACCGCCCCAGGCAGCTGCTGCCATGTGGACACAAGCTCTGCTGCCTAGGAGGTTCCCATAGTGCAGGGGTTTGCAGATGGCCATATAGCGGTCATAGGCCATGATGGTGAGAAGACAGTACTCCCATACCATAAAGAACAGAAAGAAAAAGACCTGTGCAGCACACCCTGCGTAGGAGATGGCCCTGGTGTCCCAGAGGCAATTGGCCATGGCTTTGAATAGAGTGGTGGAGATGGAGCCTAGGTTGAGGAGGGAGAGGTTGAGGAGGAAAAAGTACATGGGGGTGTGGAGGTGGTGGTGGCAGGCGATGGCAGTGATGATGAGGCCATTGCCCAGGAGAGCAGCCAGGTAGATGCCCAGGAAGAGCCAGTGCAGCTCCTGTGTGTCTGTGAATGGCAGGAGGAGGGACTGGGTGATAGAGCTGCAATTGGACATTTACTGCCTCTGGGCATGGGACACTGTTGAAAGAGGAAAAGCCATTGACAAGTTAGGGGAGACTTCTCTGAGCAAAATCACAGCCATTTCCCTTGGACACCTGTTCTTGGACAACACCCCCCAGCCTCCCCCAGCCACAGACCCATCCTTTTTGTTTTTTAGGAGACCTTCAGCTCTGTGGCTTGAGCTCTAGTTGGTGCTGGCTGAGCGTGCCGTGGGGAGCAGGGCCTTTGCCCAGTGGCTGCTGAAGAGTCACCCCTGTGCTGCAGCAGCAGTTTCATGGGAGCATTGGGGCAGGTGCCAATCCTAGTGTTTGAGTTTTTTCAGGTTAAACTGCTCCAAACACAGAAGGGGTATGACAGAAGGCAGTCTGAGAGATTATTTTTAATGCGTTCCTCCATCTCACCTGTGGAATATTCTTGGAAGTCAGAAACAATCAGCATTTCTGCCACACTCAGGGAGAACACAGTGAGCCCTGTGAGTCAAGAGGATTACTTGTGGCTTAGTGCAGACTGAGGGGAGCTAGTCTGTCTCTGCATTTTGTTTCCAGTTTTCCTGTGATTGCACCTTTCTGAGATGGAGGATGATCGCACTCCCATGTTACCCTGAAAGAAAATCAGACGCTGCTGAGAGCAGAAAGATATACTGTAGACAACCAAACCTCTTACCCTTTCTGAAGATTGCAGCACCCCACTTCTAGCCCAGGACACACATTCATGCTCATTTCACCAACTCAACAGCAGTTCCTCCATTGTAGCATCTCTGCGCTTCTCCACGAGTCTTTCAGACAACCCAAAGATGTTATCAGAAAGCTTTGCTTTCTAGAGGGCAGTTCACAGCTTGGAAGGAGATACTGAAATATCCGAACCATGCCATCTAATTAAGGCAGCATCAGCTCATTCCCTAGCTCCACTGACTGCATTGCCCACAACCGCATAGGTTAGAGGAAAGCTGGGATATTTGCCCATGGACAGACCTGCATGGCAGGACCCACAAGATCAGTGTGTGACTCTTCAGCTGAAACTCCCATCCCCAGACAGCCTGACAGCAATGCCAATAGCAGCCGAGAGAGGCAAGGAGAGGAACAGACTGGCACTAAAGAAAGGCTTTTCCTTAAAGCAACACTGCACATTACCTCTCTGACCGTGATAATGCGGGACAGTATCCCTCATCCCCCTTGATGGTCAGTGGGAAATGGGCATGTGGTAGGAGAGCTGCCTGTCACCTCTTCTGCTGGCCGAGTGGACATGGAGTAGACTCCCACCCTAGCCCCCACAGCCATGAGGGCCGAGAGCTCTGCTAGATGATAGACAAGAGATTAGGCAGGTTGCTCAGGGAAGGTGTCTGCACTGCAGGGCATGGCCAGGAGGTGCCCATACTTTCCCTGCAACAGGGTTTCCCTTAGCAGTTCTCTCCTTCCCTGACCATGTCTCTCCTGCCTGGTGCTGTCCCTGCTGGGAGGTCTTTCTCTGTCCGCATGTCTCGTCTCCTCCCTGTCAGTGCTCACAGACCCACTCCAGCCCCTGTGCTCCCATCTCTTCCCTACAACCTCCCCATGAGTGCAGGGACTAAAAAGCAGGTGAAAAACCCCGATGAAACTTGGCCAGTGCTATCTGTAGCCTCCAGAGTTGCAAACTGAAAACACAGCTTCAGGAAAGCTCCTTATGTTTAGGCTTTTATCCCCTGTGAAATGTCTCACTGCCCATTCACCCAACCAAGAGGAGAAAACTCAAAGGGTAGACACCTTTCTTTTCAGACAACCCCCACCTTGATATCTGTCTTGAAAAGTTCTGAGGGTGACCTGGAGCTGTGAGCAGCCTTGACCCATGCAGCACCCTCTTGACAGCAACTGGACCTTGCCCTTCCGGGGATTGCTTGTTCCACCCACAGCTTCTCCCTGCAGTGCCGTGTGGATCTCCTGGGCAAGCTGAGTGCTGACCCTGGCAGGCAGCAGGGTCCCTGCCCTGGCACATGGCCCCCTGGGGTTAAAGGACCCTGCTCTAAAGGAAAGTCCTGGGCATCCTTGGCTGCACACCCAGCTTCACATCCCTGCAGCCATCTCTGAGAGAAGGCAGCTGTCCTATGATGGTACAGCAGGGAATCCTTGCTCTGCAGCAAGTCCTCCTCTTCTACGCTAGAAAAGCTGTGAGAATCCTCCTGAAAGATTCCATTGGCTGTGCAATGTGCCAGCTTTAAGAGGTCCCTCCAGGAATCATGGCCGATTTGCCCTGCAGCGAGAAACATACTGTGTTAAGGTTTGCTGTAAGCATTGTCCCACTCCAGATTGTCTCTAACCTCTCTCTGTCTGCTCCTCTCCCCTCAGTGGCTGAAGGCAGTGCCCTCAGCCCTGCTGTGCTTTGAAGAGGAGCTGCTCCTGGTCAGAACCATCTCTTTGCAGTGCTTCCCACATGCCATGAGCTCCCTCTGTCCCGGGAGCTGGGCCTAGCTCAGTAGCAGAGGACCAGTCCAAGGCATCACTTTCTCTGCCCCCTTTGGGTGCCTTTGACTTGTCTCTGGGGCTCCAGGGGAACCTACTGTGAAACAAGCTGATGTAATTCCTTATTTTCCCTCCCTCAGCTGGGGACCCTTCTTTCCAGCAGTGGCATTTCTCTTATCAGGAAAAAGTTAGGCATGAGACTCATCTTTCCATGTCCCATCAATAGCAGCACACAGTGGCAGAGAGGAAAGGATTCAGCTAAGTCAGTTGAGGCACCTCATCCTGAGTCTTTAGTCCTGGGGCTAGAAGGGGAGACAGCTCTCTCCCATGCCTGCCACAAACCCTCAGGAGATGAGATTCCTCTTGCCTTGGTTCATGTGTGCTTTTCTATGATTTTAGAAAATAGGCATCTGCATGCGAGCTTGTCTGAGCTCCCATGCAAATCAATGGAGACAGAGGCCAGGAGTGAGCTTCTCATGCTTACGCCTGGTGATACTGGAAGTGTCAGAGGTGGTCCAAGATAAGTGCAGGTAACTGCAGCCTCTTACAGAGCAATTCCTAGAGAAAGAACAGCATCTTGGGGCATCACCGTGAAGGGTGCTGGGGAATTCCTTTGGCCAACAGCAGATGCCCACATTTAGGAAAAGTGAACTTTCCCTGCTCATGATGTTCAGGACAGCCTATTTAGGTAGTCAGTTGATCAAATGACTCATGGGCCATAGGGATATCCCAGTTATTTTCTAAATTTTTATTTCTCCATCAGCTGTATAGACTAGATTGTCACTGACTGTAATTGCAGTAGTCTCATGGACATCCCTCTATTGCCTAACTAAATCCAGGGCAGCTACTTGGTGGCAGAACAGAGCTCTGTAGTGCTATATAAGATGCAAGGGCTGTACAGCTGTAAGGCTCTAAGAGCAAGTCAATGTCGCAAACACCCATCTTGAATGAGGGAGTGTCGACCAAAAACAGAACCTGCAGAGGCAGGATACCGTCTTGGGATCCCATCCCCCTATTCCTGAAACATGTGGACAAAGACCATCTGTGTCCTGTGCATGTATGTCTGTGAGAGATCATCGCTCAGTCAGCCCTGAAGGGAAGGGGACAGTGAGATCCCCAAGACACCTACAGCCCACCGACTCATTCCTGAGCATTCCTGAACACATACTGTGCCTGCTCGGTGGTGACAAAACCCCACCGGGGCAAAGAAGGCAGGGACACACTGGGTTATGAAAAGGGGAAACACAAGTTTTTGGTGCTTGCCCACCACCTAAAGGATTACAGCTACGAGCAGAGAATGTCGCTGGATTAGGGGTGGTGGTATCTTTTTTCTTTTCTTCCCTTTCTTCCCTTTCTTCCTTTCTCACTCTCTCTCTCTTTCTCCACTGCTCTCTTTGTCTCTAACTTCGTTTTTGGCACATTAGGGTAATATCATTATAAGTTTTGCTATGCCGTTATCTTTCCTGGTTCCACCAAGTTTTAAGTATTGTTATAACTTTTGCC